TCAACTTCCTCAGCCTCTCCAAATCCCTCTTCATCCCGCTAATTAAGTCTCTTTGAGAGACCAAGCCCAAATCATTTCCACCTGCATTAATTAAAATAACATTCGGGCATCTGACCTTTGCCAACCAATCGGAACAGCTGAGAGCAAACCCCTTGCCAACCAGCCCCGCTTAAATCAGAACCACTTGAGTTGTACCATCGAGTGCGGAAAGCCCAGCTGTGCTCCGTGACGACAAACTGCAGCCCTCCGCCCAATACACGTAAGAGTGTCCCAGCAACCAAGCAACCCAACCAAGGTGAGAAAATATGTTAACAGGGAACAAAGACAACAGTCCCCCAGCCCCAACCAACTTAAACTAAATAGTTGGGCATAACATTTGACCTGAATCCTACTGATCCTACTGACCTGAATTCTCATCTCCCGATCTCCTTAACCAGCTCATCACCCAAGCCTAGCCGCAAAGCCTCCGTCGCAGATCCGGAATGAGTGCGTACCGAACTGAGCTGGACTCAGTCCCAGGCGCCCCAGCGCCAACCGAAAGACCTGAAGGAACGGAAACTTCGACAGGGACGAACCATCCGCATGCAACAACAGGGAGCCACCGACCATGGCCCGATCCGCCTTAAAGCCCAACCCACAAGCAACCGGGCACACTGCCAACCCAGGCACCACGAATAGCGGAACCGCCGAGCCTTTTCCAAAAAGATAGATGAATCACCACCGGATTATCCCATAGCTCCACATCCGACCGTTAGAGACCCCCGGGCCCCGAATGGATCCTGCTGACCAACTCACCAATTCTGAATGCCCTGTAGAAAGCCCAGCTAAATGCCACCGAGAACAAAGAAACCTCATAGGCCGAGAAAGAAAGGCCCACATTTAGCAACCCTGGTACGTGCCGCCCGCGAAACCCAATATTAAACTGCATGCAAACCAACACAAAGCGGTGAAGCAGCCGAATTACTGGAATAGAGGAAGCCGACAACCCATTAACGGCTTCCACCACCGTTGTATTGTCGGTGAAGAAGATAACTTTTTTATTGCGCAACAGGCGACCCCACAATGCTAACGCCACCACCAAGGGGAAGAACTCCAAGAAGGCCAAATTGCGAATGAGGGAGCTGGCCTTCCATTCTTCTGGCCAGGGCTCCGCGCACCAACTCCCCGCAAAAAATGCCCCGGACCCAATACTCCCTGAGGCATCTATGCATAGTTCCATGTCAGGCGAAGACACAGCCGGTTCCTGAAAGTACACTTGACCATTAAAATCCCAAAGAAAAAATGCCCAGACATCCAAATCGGCCTTCATGGAGGTCGACACCTGCACGAAATGATGGGGGGAAGCAACCCCGCTAGTAGCTTTGGACAGGAACCTGTTAAAAACCTGCCCCACGTGGATAATCTGGCACGCAAAATTTAGCCAGCCCACCAATGACTGAAGGACCCGCAAGGTAACCTTCTTGGCCCCCCGCACCTCCGCCACTGCCTGCCGGAGTGCCAGCAACTTTTCTTCCGGCAACCTACACTCGCCCTGGATATGATAGATGGTGAATGAGGTGCCCCCGCACCGGGAACATTCGTGCTTGTACCGACATGCAGCCACTCATTTGCACTGGCTGTCGTTGAACAGCCAGCAAAATCCCTTTTTGTGAACGGCCGGCAAGGGGGAATCCTATCCATTAACATGGTTTCCTATACTTTCCCCACTACTGAAGTAAGGATTACTGGCCTATAGTTGCCAGAGTCCTCCCTACTATGCTTTTCACACCCACTCCAGGGGGCCACTGATCTAACCAATCAGCATCCTATCTCTAGGAATACTGGAAAAGTGCATTGGGCATGCCTGACATATTTATACATGTGCAGCTGGAAGATCTCTGCAATTTCCTGACAAGGGGAGAAGAGACAGAGTCTGATCAGTGTGATCATGCACAGCAGGTTCAAGTGTTGTCATAATGATGCTATGTTTCTGACATTAGTGGGATTGGAAAATGAGCTGGGTGGGTAAGGGGGAGGCTGAAGAAACTTCCATGACAGAGAGGTGTGCCTAATAATGCAATAATGCAATCTGACTAAGTTTCCAATAAGTTTATATACATTTATTGCAAACGCTTTATATTGGCTTGTATATTTGTTCAAAAGTGTTTGCTTGCCTGTTTAAAAAAAATATTGTCAGATGATGCATGTCCCTTTACTTTTTAAACAAATATGTTAAAGGACCACTATAGGTACCCAGACCACTTCAGCTTAATGAAGTTGTCTGGGTGCCAGGTCCAGCTAGGTTTAACCCTTTTTTCTATAAACATAGCAGTGTCAGAGAAATGATGATCTATACACTAAAACAGTTTTATTAATCTAAATTTGTTCTTGTGCCTATAGTGACGTCACTTCCTCCCATCGGAGATAATGGGCGCGCGGGAGGAGGAAGGCAGGGAGGAGGGGAGTTCCAGAGGACTAGGGAAACCACCCTCCTGGTAAAGGTAAGAACCTAGAGGGTGGCAAAATGTATGTCAGTAGGTCTGTGTGTGTGTGTGTGTATGTGTATGTCAGTGTGTGTGTGTATGTCAGTGTGTGTGTGTGTGTATGTCAGTGTGTCTGTGTGTGTGTGTCAGTATGTCTGTGTGCATGACAGTATGTCTGTGTGTGTGTCAGCATGTCTGTGTGTGTGTATATAATTATGTATCTGTGTGTGTGTGTATGTGTGTGTCAGTATGTCTGCCAGTATATATTTGTGTGTCAGTGTATGTGTGTGTCAGTATGTATCTGTGAATGTTTTAATGTCTGTCTGTGTGTATGTGCCAGTACGTCTGTGTGTGTGTGTCAACATGTCTGTGTGTGTGTATGTGTGTGTCAGTAGGCCTGTGTGTGTCAGTATGTCTATCAGTGTATGTGTCTGTTTGTGTATGTATGTATGTGTGTGTGTTTGTGTCAGTATGTCTGCCAGGATATATTTGTGTGTCAGTGTATGTGTGTGTCAGAATGTATCTGTGAATGTTTTAATGTCTGTCCGTGTGTATGTGCCAGTACGTCTGTCTGTGTGTATGTCAGTATGTCTGTGTGTGTGTTTCAGCATGTCTGTGTGTGTCAGTATGTCTGTGTGTGTATGTAAGTATGCCTGTGTGTATGTGTGTGTCAGTAGGCCTGTGTGTGTGTCATATGTCTGTCAGTGTGTGTGTCTGTGTGTATGTATGTATGTCTGTGTGTGTGTGTCAATATGTCTGCCAGGATATATTTGTATGTCAGTGTATGTGTGTCAGTATGTATCTGTGAGTGTTTTAATGTCTGTCTGTATCTGCCAGTATGTCTGTCTGTGTGTATGTCAGTATGCCTGTGTGTGTGTGTGTCTGTGTGTATGTCAGTATGCCTGTGTGTGTGTGTCAATGTGTCTCTCAGTATGCCTGTGTGTGTCAGTATATTTGTCAGTGTATGTGTTTGTGTGTGTGTCAGTATATCTGTTAGTGTATGTGTCTGTGTATGTATGTATGTATGTCTGTGTGTATATATATTTGTGTGTCAGTGACAGTGTGTGTCAGTATGTATCTGTGAATGTTTTAATGTCTGTCTGTGTGTCTGTGCCAGTACGTCTGTCAGTGTGATTGCGGGTTGGGCGTAATTGGGGGGTGAGGCGGCGGGAGGTGCAGGGCCCAGGGGGCCTAAGAAAATGCATTGCCCAGGGTCCTAATCATATTATAGACGGCCCTGAATGGGACACATGGATTGGGTTAGGAGGGGAAATGGGACACGTGTATAGGGCTGGGAGGGGGGAATGGGACACATGGAGAGGCTTGGGAGGGTCGGTAGGGGCGGGAGGAGCCAATGAGACACTGAGAGGGGGAAGCAGACACCTGGAAAGGCTGAGAGGGGTTAATGAGACACCTGGAGGGGCTGGGAGAGGGGATAAGACACCTGGAGGTGCTGGGAGGGGGTAGTGAGACACCTGGAAAAGGCTGGGAGGGGTTAATAAGACACTGGGATGGGGTAATAAGACACTAGGAGGGGAAATGAGCCACTGGAAGGGGTAATGAGACACTGGGAGGTGGAATGAGACACCTGGAAAGGCTGAGAGGGGTTAATGAGACACCTGGAGGGGCTTGGAGAGGGGATAAGACACCTGGAGGGGCTGGGGGGTGAATGAGACACATGGAGCGTCTTAAACGAACCAGAAACAAGTGCAGTGCTACATTCAACAAGTGCAACATGTGGTTGAAGATAACCGATGAAGATTTCAATATGGTATGTCTTCTTTTAATGTTCTTACAACATATATGTATTTGCTATGCTTTCATCTTGTATTTGTACTTCATAATTAAGCTTTTCAATGGAAAAAATTGTTGGTCAGGAATGGAACCATGTTTATTACATTGCGGTCTATGGGAAATTAGTTCTCACTTTATGAACTCTCACTTTATGAACTAGGCTTCGGAACCAATTAGTTCATAAAGTCAGGAACTACCTGTATTTAAAAGTCAACACTATATCCAAACACACCAATGCACTCAAACACAAACATTACATACAAATACACCCCTGTATGCAAACACCAACACTACACACAAAAGCACACCTGCAATTAAAATACAACAGTACGCAGAAACATACCCCTGCATTCAAACACAAACACAAGTACACCACTGCATTCTAATGGCAACAGTACATACAAAAAATACACCCTATGTGCACACACATACTCCATACAAAATCATGCTTACATTCAAATGCACAAACACTGCTCACAAATACAACCCTGCAAAGATGGGTTCAGCTGGCATAGCAATGGAAGTTGTATGACAGATGGGAATATATCTTTTTGCCACTTCTCTACATTACTTCCGCCACTGGGGAGAATCTTTATATATGGTGGATAAATTAAGTCACATTTGGCTGGTCATAAGATAAATGTTTATAATAAAGCTCTTTAAATATCATAAACTATACTACAAGGAGACTCTTTATGGGCCGCCCTGCTCCCAGCCTGCAGGGAGTTGGCACACAGAATGGACTTCTGAAAGTCTAGAGTAGCAGCTTTGTGTGGAAATGTGTTGTGCACAGAAGCAAAAGTAGCTTTTAAATTTTTGTGTTTTTAATGGATCTCTGTCTCTCCATGGAAGTGTCTCTCTCATTTCCTCTAACAGAAACTGTTCTTTCAGCAGACAAATTCCATCCAATTCCGACAGCCCAGACTGTGATGGAAAATAAACAAGGTGAATAATATGAGGAGCAGCAGTTAAAATATTCCATTCCCAGCACTGAGAATGTTATTCCAGTTAGAACTTTGCCAAATGCACCTCGTGCTATGCTGGAGCACCCTTTAACATTCCAGCTGAACGCACACACTCTATAAATGGGGTAAATATTAAATCCCTTTACTGTAC